AGGCAATAAAAGCCCCCCAAAAATGTATATTTAAAAAGAAAAATCGCAGGAAAAGTGAAAGGTGCAACTCCATGAAGTGACCAGACGCACTTTTAGTATTTGAGTGGACTTCATTTCTAAAATACCCAGTGGGCACCTTTGTATAAACCCCAATAATCTGGTTTTTACGTGATAAAAGTAATACTATAACTTGGGCGGAGATTATGGGAATCTCATGATCCCATTATCCTTGTTAAGAATATCATATTAACATACCCAGATTTGAAGTTATTAGCATTATAAACACTTTTTGTCTTCTTTTTCTCAATATTTTGTAGTGTTGCTTGTGTTACAAATGTTGAAAAATATATATATATATATATATAAATGTTATAACACGTCTGTCATTGTGACAGGGACTGTGTATTGGAGAAAGGAAAGTAGAGCATTCCCATCTAGAGTCTGCTTAAGGTCTAATGACCCAAATATCCCATTTTTCTGTTGAAGTTTACCATAATTAGGAAGACTGTGTTCAGAATGTCCTCCTTTGCCACATTTACACAAAGTGGGGTATTATTTGCGTGAATCTTTACATATTTTCTTAGAACTAAGATTCAGTAACAGGCCACTGAACAGTGTGCTGGCACATCTCTACCTACACACAGTTATATGAAGACAGTAAAAGGAAAAACCACGACCCCGTTTCAACTCATGTGACAGGCCCAAGTCTTACCTTGACCCCTCACTGCTGGCTAAAATGACAGTACTTGGGGATGGGGTCAGCTGAGGACAAGCATTCAAATGAAATGGTTAATGATTAGCTGCTTGACTTGAGACAGACTCTGGGTGCTAAAAGGATGTGAGGGGCCAAAGCCAACCTATTTTCTGTTTGTGTGTCCAATGGAGGGACGACATTTTGATCGTTGGTCTGTCACTTGTATTCATTGCTCTAACGCAAAGGAAAAATGTGCTGTAAAATTGGTTGGGGTATTAGCTGTCAGCATGTTTTCATTAGAACCGGAGAGAATCAAAGCAGACGGTGAGAGACAGCCAGGGTGCAGCAACAGGCAGCTATGCACGATAAACCCCGTAGCCTTTTAATGTGCTGTGCTGATGAGTCATCGTCATTCTTCTCACCTCCGTTTTAGAAAAGTATGTGTTAGTGTTGGGTTGTAATGTCAATTAAGAACGTACCTAGTGATAGAGGATTATTTTCTTCTTTTAATGAAGTCGACCAAAACCTTGTTTAAAGTGAGCAGTGGGCAGAAGGGCGAAGGTTGAAACAGAGGGGGCATGTTTTAATTAAAATTGGATCCAAACACATCATAGTATAAAACATGCACCTGTCTGCTTGACAGTGACTTCCCGTTTTAGGAATATTGAAGCAATTCATTCAGGAGTAGTGTAGTCCCATTGCCATGGATGTGATTTATTTATAAACATTTCATAATGTTCATTGACAATCAGCAGGGGCTGCGCAGTTTGGATTGATTGTAAATGCAATGCTTTGTTTAATTAAAGCATCTCAAATTATGTTGAGCTCAAAGGATAACTAATGAAGTAATAATCAGTCAGCAAACCGGCAAAGAAAAGAAAATATAACTCTGATTGTTGAGTTGTTTAAGCTGTAGGTTGGACAAAACCGTCTTTAAGGACTGGATTGGAGAACGGTAATTTGGGAAAAAAAAACAAAGGTTTACTCGTGTGAATTGTGGAAGAAGAAATAAAGGGAATACTCTTACCACTGAATAAATATTGACTCCTAGAATTGACTTATGAATCTGTTTTGGATTCTTGGATTGGATCACTTTAACACTGATTTAACAAACCTACTAAAAAAAGCTATGACAGTGTCTAAAAGTGGAAAAATGGGGAAAAATGAATTTATTGTTGTTTAGAACATTTAATAAATATGTAGATATCAGTTTTACAATTGATAGAAAAGTATTTCATGAATTATTTATTTCAGTGCTCACATTGTAGTAAAAGAAAACGTTACCAGGACAATGAGGCAGTGTGTAGATATTTAATTATCTTAAAAGACGGCAGGAATGCTAAAAGTAAATTTTGTATGACGAATGCACAAATTCTACTAATTGTAGTAGCAACTAACGGTTATTTTCATTATCTATTAATCTTCAGATTTTCTTCTTTTCTCAGTTAATTGTTTGTCAATATAATGTCATAAAATAGAGAAAAATATCTATCAATGTATTCATATTGCTTGTTTTATTCTACCAACAGTCAAAAACCTAAAGATATTTAGTTGACTATCATATATGGCAAAGAAAAGTAGTAGTATCCTTTCTGTCGATCGACTAATCCATGTAATCAGTTACAGTTATCAATTAGCTCTACTACCATCAGTGGTCTACTGGATGTTGACAACATTTCTTTGCATGTAAGATGTAGAATTGTCTCACTTTCAAAAGAACAATGGACCTTACTCCCCATGCTGTCACTGCACAGACTCATTCAAATGTGGTGTCATGATTTGCATTGTACCTCTAGTCTGTGTGTGTCTGTGTGTGTGTCTTTCTGTCCTCCTCCGTCTGTCCATACCTTGACCCTACTGATCCTTTTCCCTATTAAGACGCCGCTATTCCGAGCGCGGTTTCCCTTCAGCCATCGGTAGCCCCCTCTCTTTATTAGCCTCAGTCCCTTGCACCCTCA